CTGTTATTCCCTTCTATATCATTATGCCACTCAATATTCAATTTTTGAGATTACTTTCTGATTTTTGCTATTTTCTTCAATTTAGAATTTCATATAAATTAAGTAAGATACTTTTGTAAAAAAAAAAAGTCTTCGCCGATATATTTATACAACGAACATTTGGAAAATGAATTTATCTTCTCACTACACACTTGTTTAGATATATCGAACAATCTAGATTTGATAATATTTATAATATAATCAGGTGTAAAATTATCTTCATTTATCCATTTGTACCCCACATCCAATCTAAAAAGTTCATCTCTCACACCATACAGTCATTCGCTTCCATTTTCTAACATATCTTGATAACAGGCTTGTACAATACAGTTTTCAGAATGCTTTAATTTCATCCAGTACTTAAAAATACGAACTTTCTTGGTAATTTCTAGATAAATTCAGCCTAGCTCTTGGTAGGTAATAACATTTGCAATGAATTTCTTTACCCCTGATAATCTTTTACGATTGATTAAAGTTAGTTTCTCTGGTGCTTTATGAAAACCCCAGATTTCAGCCCCATAATTTAATATGCTACTAATATATATGTCAAAGACGTGAAGTTGTGTTTCGAAATTAAAGCGATTTTCTTTACATACATTATATACAGATAACAATGCTTATCTACCTTGCATAGCTATTTTTGTTGCGTTTTATTAAATCTACCGTTAAAAGGAAGTAAAACTCCCAAGTAATTGAATTCGTCTACATATCTATAACACAATTAAAGTATTATTTATCTTCTCTCGTAACCTAACATCACTTTTTATTTTGACACATTTGCTGTAATATTCCATTTTTTGTCTATATCTTTTGTATACAATAATAACGAATCTAGCTATTTCTGTAATAGCTCAGCTGTTTCCGCCAGAAGTACCGTGACGTTTTCATACATAAATAATAAAAATATAGTTTGTAGTTCAATATATAGACGTTCCTCTGTTAAGAAGTGGATTTCACAATCATTTACATATAACGAAAACAACATAGGAGATGCTATAATTACTAGCAAAGAAAATATTATTATACTTTATGCAGCATTTTACATTGTGTTATAAAGAACATATCAGATTTAGAATCTTACCCACATCTATCAGTTTATACCATATATTCTGTCTGTTGATGAAGTCATACGCCTTTTTATAACCAATACAGCAGCATTGTTATTGTAACAAAGTGTAACAGAAGTGTTGACGACACCCGAGTATTTTTTTATTACAAATCGGAAGAAAAATGAGAGTAATACAGAAGTTATGAAAATAAAATTTCTTGTCTTACGGTATGAGAGTTCAGATGCCGAGACAAAACGAGACTTCTATTTAATACTGTATACATAATGAGTGTCTGTACACAAAGCCTGGTCACGTGCGACAATTTGTAAACAAAACACTTACGAGTGTTTGTAAATATTCTGCCTGAATCTGATAGATCTATAGGTGTCACACTTATAGGGTTATTGCTTAGTTAGGAAATGCACGTAGCTGTATCCTTACATATATTAAGAAAATAAATAAACCCTGTCCCACACTTATCTGTAAGTATCTGTATCAACCAGGATAGAATCGTACAACTGTGCTACAAAACTGCAGAACGGCTGCACAGATGTGCGATAGCTAATTTCGTCTAGTTCCTTTCGTTCGAGCATCACGCGTACATCGTGTAACGTTGTCCCACAACTGTACAAAACACACATCATGATAACTTATTTGCATGTAAACCATGTATGCAGTATAATTATCTTGCCAAAATTATAAACGCTCGCCATTTTGCTGTCCACGGATAAATAGTAGTGTAATATTGAAACTGGAATTTGTTATTTAATATTGATGTCAAGGAGTTCCCGGTCTTAGAAAGTAGTAAGGACAGTACTTTATCGGATATAACGGGCACAATAAACACATAGCAAGGCCACCGTTCAGGCCACCGTTCAGCGTGGTTGTCATCATCTACCACAAAAGAGACTCTGCCTGAAACCCTGGCTGTTGACAATGTTCTAGTCCTGACCGCCCCATGTCGAAGTATAGCTTACTATTAGAAGTAGTTTTTTCTTTCTTTACTCCTTCATGTGTCTGAAAGCTACCTATCAACTGTTCGCAACATCTATTACTATTCTGCACCGTAGAGAGATATTGTTGGTATAACATACCATGATTAATGACCTAAATCGATTTGCGGCACGTGTTTAAGAAACATTTGCTTACAAGTGACATTTGGTTTCGAAAGACATCAACTCGAAATACATCGTTTTAAATCGTTTTTTCACACATGCATTCTTAATGGAAATACAGATGCTGCTTTTTTGTCTAACAAATAAAATTTCTGTTATTAAATTTTCTTATGGTGACAGGTTAGATGACAGAAAGGAATTAAAAAATATCTTGTCGTGTTTCTTTTACTACTACAGGAAATATATTGCAGGAAATATGCATTTAAGCTTATTTGTGTTAATGTTTTCGTGGAAAACAAGTATTTTTGGTTAATTTTGAAGCGACCCGGTTGTAACCAGCAGATTCCTTGTGTTATTAAAATACAAAAGAATGATATAAGAATAAAACACCAAAACGTCAGAACACTAATTTTCAATCTAATTGACAGCAAATCTCGACTGCAACCAATCCTTTCAAAAAGCTTAAATCCTATATTTGGCAATGTAATGAAGTTTTTTTCAATACTTAATGTTTTGACAGAAAAAAATGTTGTTTCCGTTATAAGAAAGAAAGGATCACGTTGCTTATAGACATAACAATAAAACAGAAGTCAATACTTATTTCATTGCCTCCACTAGGATTCGAACCCAGCTCCTCCTGCTTACTAGTCTGACGCTCAACAGGTCGAGCTAAAGAGAAGTTCTATAGCTGTTTTACCAAGGTTACATACTCAACTCACAAAAAATAGGGACCACTTGTTAAAGATAAATTAATTTGTATCCAAAGGCAAAAAACGTTTGGAGTATGATATTCAACAACGAAGTTAAACAAGAAGAAAACCATTCTGAACAACTTTGAATCAATTTCATTCAAGCGTGTTGTGTATGATTACATAAGGAGTTCATAACCCTCTAAAACAAAGTTAAAGCCACAATGACGCTGGAAAGTCAAAATGTTTTTTGTCGGTTCAGCAACACTAGTGACCCCTATGACGGCACGTCATCGGCTTGGCATGCTAGGAACCAGGCGCCTTGTAGCCATTTGTAGAATTCGTGGCCATTCTTGATTAGGAACATCAGGAAGTGCCTGTCGGTTGACAGGAAGCTGCGGACGATCGTTAACGCGCTGCTGTTGCACGTCCCACGCAAACTCGATCGGGTTAAGGTCTAGTCCATAGTTTTTGTCTGAAGGTACTCAATCACAAGTCAAGCTCCATGGGGTCGAGCATTGACATTCATCAGTACAAACTCAGAGTCCATAGCGACTGCAAAGGGTCTTACAATTGGAGAAATTAGACAAGTCAGTTCGAACATTAAAACTGAACTCTGCCCAAACCATTACCGAACCCCCATCAAAACGGTCTTGCTCACTGACGCAGCACTCAGGAGACGTCTCACCCATCCCGCTCCAAACACGCCCCCTGCTGTCATGAAAGTCCACACAAAACCTGGACTTTTCCGTAAAAAGAATACGCCGGTACTGACGCAGTCGCTAATTTACACGATCAGCTGCCCAATCCTGCCGAGCTATACGGTGACGGCGTGTGAGTAGAGGGCGTACAGCGGGTCTGTGAGGGCGTAATCCAGAGTTGTAAAGTCTATTTCTCACTGTTTGTGCAGAAAATCTTCGTTGTTTAACCTAGTTCAGCCTGCAAACCGATTTCGCCTAGTAAGGGTGCATAGATAACTATCCATGTGGGCTGTCTTACACCATGATTTACCCGGTCGAGGCCTCTCGTTGACGTTTCCAGTCATGTGGAATCGATTCCTTAAACGAGAAATTAATATTCATTACACATTAAAGTGTGCAGCCACGGGTCGTTGTGATTGTCCTGTTTGCAGCATTCTGACTGCTCTGCAGCTGTCATGCGACTTCTCATGTTAACAAATGTTCAAAACAGGATGCAAAACGACAGGATATTCAGAATAAACACAAGCTATGTTGTTGACTGATTTGACGCGAAGTTCACACTGGTTTTCAAGAAAACCACAACTGACAGTTTGATTAAACCATGTACTTGATGTACGTAAACTGTAGGCTACACGGGCAAATCGTTACATAAAGTTATTGTGCATACTTTGGTGATAAAGAAGTGTCGAGAATAATCTATTTTTTTGCTAGAAAAAATTGCATTTATTTATGATCCTTAACATTTTTGTGTCCAGCATAAGGGAGTTTATTATATATTTTATTGCCTCCTTTATAATTCAAGAAATTAGACGATCTGATTTGCGGTAATAATTCGTTTGTTGAATTTTGCCTTAAATCTCTAGAGTTGTACTCAAAAGAAATCCCCAAGAAACTGAAGAAACGTTGAAATTGTTTACACTAAAAACCTAATTACGACGTCACCTGCGGTGTAACGAATTGTAGTCCACAGGAAAACGTTCCTCATCAGATGTCAACTACCTATTAAGTGCTCCAGTTTTGGAAAACTGTTGGTAATAAAGTATATCAAAACGCAAAAATATATGCTATTACGTTGAAATATGTTTTCTTTGAAGAATGGATACACTAATTGAATTTTTAATTGTATTTTGTTTTCAGCAATACGAAATTATACCAGTTGTTTTCAGTATAACAGCTTATGTAAATCCTTAGACTGAAACACTTGTAGAAAATGCAACATTGTTTTCCGCACTAGCGAACTTGGTGTAATTGTTGTTTTAGTTTCACTGTCTATTAGAAATAGCCATTTATGATGATGTGTTGGCCTCGGTATATCTCGGTCACAAGGTTAATAGAAATTCTAACCGATAAAGTTATGATGTTTTGGGTCTGTTTTATACTGTATAATAATATATGTTGTATTTTCAGGATATTTGTAGAGACATCACGTGCGCTGCTGGATCAGTATACATTGATGGTGTGTGTAAGCGACAATACGCTCAAGAATCTATCAAGTCTTATGACGTGTACATACGAGTCAGCATGGGACACAATTTCTGTGTGGATGGCCTAGATCAGTTTGGTATCGAACTAAGCAGATCTGTACATCAGATGCTTAAGCGCTCCCCAGTTTTAAATGACTTTGTCTGTTCATTCGTCCCTTTATTCATGCCTTCGAAAAAACAGTGTTATAACAGCGAATCGTCTTCTGTATCTTACACTTTGTTCCACATAGGATTATTTTCGTACAAAGTACATTCCGTTGACGATTTGCTGACAGAACTGTCCTCACTCGACAACCAACATATCGTCGTTAGTGACTATAATTTCACAATGACGCTAGACTCGGGATATTATGGTGATATAGTGTTTGATTCCTACAAACACACAAGACGGTATACGGATCCGGTTACTAAGGAAACGCTCTTTGACCTTCCTACCGGTTACATCCTGACCAAAAGCTGCCAATATCCTATTCGACACATGCGTGTGACCAAACTGTCCTTCTGTCCACGTGTGTTTCTCTCATCAGACGAATACAGCGTCAAGTTTCATCCAGAGTCTGTATGTTTAGAAATGATCAAGCTGTGTATGGCTAATGGTACATATGAACAGAAAGTTAACGGGTTAGAGATGTGTGCAGATGTTTATTTCATGCACGTTGAAAACTTGACCTTTGAAAACTCGACAGCTGACGTTTGTAATGAAAGTGATAACAATGCATCATACCTTTTCAACCTACTGTCGGTAATATGTGCCGCAATGTCGATATTTTTCTTGATTTTGACCATTCTTACATATATTTTATTTAAAAGTTTGCGAACAACACCAGGTAAAAACAATATGTTTTTATCAGTAAGTCTCTTAATCGCCCAATGTTTGTTCCAGTTTGGTGCCGGCCAGACGACGTTAGGTCTAGGTTGTGTTGTAATCGGTGTCTTGATACACTACTTTTATCTGTCCGCTATCGTCTGGATGAATATTTGCTCCTTTCACATGTACAGAGTGTTCTCTAGTCTGAAGGCAAAAACAATGAGTTCACTAAGAGACGAGAAAAGGGACATGATAGCATATATTTCTTATTCTGTAGTAGCTCCACTCGTAAGCGTGTCTGTGAACATCGTGGTCAGTTTAGTGACGTCAGACTGGTCGGACATCGGTTACGGAGGCTGCATCTGTTACATTTCTTCAAAACAAATGATTTTGTATACATTTGCCATTCCCATCGCTATTGTTCTTATTCTTAACGTCGCATGCTTTGTAGATGTGATAATAAACATTAGGAGATCGCAACATTCCAACCTTTCTTCTAACCATGATCAAATATCGATCGTGGTGTATCTGAAGCTTTCCTGTCTGACTGGCGCCTCTTGGGTTTTTGGCTTCCTTTACACATGGCTAAATCTAGACGTATTTGGATACATGTTTATCGTCTTAGCTGCTGGACAAGGGATCTATATTTTTCTGTCATTTATTTGTACGAAAAGAGTTATGAAACTTTATGGAAAATTGTTGAGGTGCCGCGGTTCAAATGAAAGCAAGTACTCATCAAGGGCAAATCAATCGAGTGTGTCATATGTTTCAACAAAACGAAATTCAGATAACAATTAACATCAACCCTCGACCACAAATTGAACAATTTCTTGGTCAATGATAACTCACGTATAGGAGGAACTGTAATGAGAAAAGTTTCCTTAATTATACAAGATAGTGTTTGTTTTTATTCCACGAGATTGAAGGATGATACAGATTATACAGATGGCAGTAAACTTTTGTTCGGTGAAAAGTTCCAACAGAGTTGGCCTGTCACTTTCCAAACGAAAACTTATGCTAATGGAGTGAAGTCTAAGCTTATTAAATTCTAAACTAAAGATGCTAATATTTTGTGTCTTTTTATAATATTTAAGATAGCAGATGATAGACACTGCCAGTGGAAATTAAGTCCCCGGTATTTGCTGTAACTGTGAGCAACGTTTTAGTTTATTCGACTGGTGGTGAGGTTTAGAACATACACCTGTACTTGACGCTGTCCTAAACTTATATAGTAGATGATCTAATCATGGCGCTGCTGCACCTCCCCGTCTAGATTTTGACTTTTCTTTCGATCACTTTGGATTTTCTCCAAGGCTTCCGCATTTAGTCCCTTAGCATCACTGATGAGTCCTAGAAGGATGAAATAGCTGAATGATGCAATTTTATCACTGTTTGGATGTACTGTACCTAACTCTAAACTATCAAGAGGTGCTATTCGCTTGTTTGCCTTTTGTATAATCTCCTCTTATTGCTACATGTCAAGTAAAAAGAGGCGACAAATGGAATAGTAGTAAAATAACGAGTTAGTGGATGACAGCAAGTAAACAGAAATTCCATCCATAAACAGAAAGTTCCCGACAGACCCGTCACAAATTGGCGTATTTCCATTGGCATGTCCGATCATCATCAAGCGAGTGGAACTACTTTTTTCATCGAGAAATGGAAATAAAATGATGATAAATCAGTTTTTCTTTTTCAAGGAAAAGGTGTAGTAGAATAGACTACAATAATACATTGTTATCATCTTGTGTATGTTTTGGTCTTCAAACTGTTTACGATTTTCGACATTTGGGTACACAGATAAGCGTATTTGCGTATAAACCGCGAAAAATCCGTTATATTGATGTGAAAATTTTGAGAGTTTCGCCAATGGTGAGACTACTTAATATGATGTGTATTGAGACCGAGAGATCAATCCTCTTTAATATAATACGTATTAAGATCGAGAGATCAATCCTCTTTGATATGATGTGTATTGAGATCGAGCGATCAATCCTCTTTGATATGATGTGTATTGAGATCGAGAGATCAATCCTCTTTGATGTGATGTGTATTGAGATCGAGAGACCAATCCTCTTTGATGTGATGTGTATTGAGATCGAGAGATCAATCCTCTTTGATATGATGTGTATTGAGATCGAGAGATCAATCCTCTTTGATATGATGTGTATTGAGATCGAGAGATCAATCCTCTTTGATATGATGTGTATTGAGATCGAGAGATCAATCCTCTTTGATATGATGTGTATTGAGATCGAGAGATCAATCCTCTTTGATATGATGTGTATTGAGATCGAGAGATCAATCCTCTTTGATATGATGTGTATTGAGATCGAGAGATCAATCCTCTTTGATATGATGTGTATTGAGATCGAGAGATCAATCCTCTTTGATATGATGTGTATTGAGATCGAGAGATCAATCCTCTTTGATATGATGTGTATTGAGATCGAGAGATCAATCCTCTTAAATGTAATATTCATTAATATCAAGAGATCAATCCTCTTTAAATATTTATGTAATAACCTTCCGCTCTTCTATCAGATATGTCATTATCCTAATGCATTATGTAGGTTTGGGTGTATGAAATATCGAACGTGATGTTAACCATACAATTCTCATCTTTAATGTGTATCAGATCAGGGAAGATAAGTGGAATCTCAGGCAATTCAAAATAAAACGATACATTATTAATGATGAAGTGTAAGCCTCTCTTTACAAATTTTGTCATAGACATGTTTGTTTTGAACAACAGCCATATTGAATTAATGTTAGTAATGTCAATAGAATAGAAATTCTTATAAAACAACTCGTAGAAGTTTAAAGTGATCTTTCGGCTGTGATTTAATTCTCCGAGCAATCAAAGGTAGAAAATAGTGTCATGAGGTGATACAAACATAGAAAAACAAACAAAAGGGTAACAATGTATTTGCGTCGATTTGACGTAGCTAACACTTGGTCCTAGATCTACTAGAGTCTGTCCTACTTACCCCATCCCTCCTCCCTCTTTCTGTTTCGTACTTGCTCGCTGCGACCTATCCAGATGACCTCAATGACCAGCTATTAACTTATCTGGAACTGTTTTCTTATGTTCATTAAGTCGGACCCTGAAATGTGATGCGTCGTAGTTCTTGCATCCAATTTTGTTAGCGCATTTCTCCGAAGTTCTCTCTGGGTGTTATATCATTAGCATGGACTAGGGCATTTCTCCGAAGTTCTCTCTGGGTGTTATTTCATTAGGATGGACTAGGGCATTTCTCCGAAGTTCTCTTCGGGTGTTATATCATTAGGATTGACTAGGACATTTCTCCGAAGTTCTCTTTGGGTGTTATATCATTAGGACGGACTAGGACATTTCTCCGAAGTTCTCTTTGGGTGTTATATCATTAGCATGGACTAGGACATTTCTCCGAAGTTCTCTTTGGGTGTTATATCATTAGGATGGACTAGGACATTTCTCCGAAGTTCTCTTTGGGTGTTATATCATTAGGATGGACTAGGACATTTCGGAGAGTTTTTTTGGCTGTTGCCCTACCAAAACTACGTTAAATTCTCTAAATAGGTTTCAGACAGATCTTTGGAGCAAAGGATGACTACATATTGTTTCGTTTAGTTATTTTCCTTGATGTTTAATCTTTTTGTCTTTTCTCTGTTCTCCCCAAATGTCTTTGTCCACTTTCTGGGAATCCCCATGTTTTCATGGGACTATGGATATGATTTTGTTCTTGGTTCTTGTTTTGATCTTCTGTTACAATCGCGTTATATTTGTTTTAGCAGGGTTAGTATTTCTTTCTCAAAGATGAAGTCGATGATGCTGATTGTACCTACGGTACTGATATGCACATTCAAATTCGTGATCTTTTCTTGACTATTTCCAGTATACCATCAAAATATCATAGTCAAAGACTAGGCCTGCATATTTCTCTAAGTGCTACATTAATATGTTGATCATCACCGGAGACAATGGGCTGTACCTGGTCGTCGCTGAAAAATGGTATCTCGGGAAGCAAAGTGTGTTGCTGTTGTCAGCAAAAATTCTATGGTGATTGTTTTTTATGATCAACTTTGTTCTAGGCTGCTTTGAATGATACCAAGTACTTTATCAATGGGCGTATCGATGAAAAGACCTACTACTTTGTATGGTATAAAATGAACTTCTGGACGCTTTTGATAAATACACTGAACGTACTGTCTACAAGATGTTTTGATTTTCCCACCAGGGGTCCTAGAATGTTTGCTGGTGATCAACAGACACTATAACCGATGGAACCTGCATTTTCCACTATAAGCGCAATTATGATTGACCGGAACACTGCTGAATGACATATCCTATCTTTACACATTTTCATGTCATAACTTTCATAATCATATATTTCAATTTTTCAAATCAGTTAACATTATCATAAATGTGTCCTGACGTTATTTAGCGCCGGGTATATATACATAATTAATGAGTGCCTGCTCCGATGAGACCTTATCAACGCTTGCATTAAGAACTCTATAATGAAATGGTCACATATAACGAGAAAGCTCGAGAACCTTGACCACGGTATGTATCTCATGTATGTCACTACGTCTCAATGTCAGAGATGGTCATGAAAGTGCAGTTTGACACAGACAAAGCAGTTTTATTATGGTATGTATATGTTAACTGTGATGACTGTACAGATAACAGCTGTATTAGGATAATCATGTATATGAGATGGTTGCCATTCTAGTAGAAAGGACGAAACATTGCGTCGGCACAAATACATCACCTTGATTTAGGAAGGTAAATTCTTCAGTCTTTAATAATTCCTTCATTATATTAGGGTTTTAGCGATTACGACATAACGTCTTCTCCGAGTCTCCGGTCATCCCGATATATTATTCAAATTCCAGAAACAACAATGAGAAGGAATTTCGTGTTATAGAAAACATATTTCGAATTCTTCTGATCTTCCAGTCCTAAAACAGGGTCAGCTGTTTATATGACATACAATCTCGTGTTCAGAATCATTCGAATGAAATATATCTCATCTGATATTAAAATGATAGAGACAGGAATTACAATACAGTTAAAGTCACCGCAGTTTTAAAGACACAAGATTAAGTGAAACTAAAAATTGGCGATCGGGATGAAATATCAAATATTATCAACAAACTTGTATGGAACAATTTCATTGCAGCCAATAATTTACGGGAATGTAAAGCTAAATGAAGGCGGAGTTTAGTCCTAGAAGAATGGATTTCAGAAATAAAACATAATGTGATACACAGAAAACCTATCACACAAGGAAATGTTGATATCTTATTCAGAAAATTTTGAAAACACGACCTCTAGCGGAATGAGGCTTGCGCCATAACAAATTGATATGGTTTAATGAAGCTAAGACTTAAGTCATCCCTCACATGAACTAGATATTTGATAATGGCGATATATTTTATCTTTAAATATTAGGTTTTCTATTTTCAGTAGAAGGGAGAGGCTCCGGAAGGAAGTCTTTCAAGTCTTCAGGATCATAGAAAAACGTCCTTGTACATGTAAATGCGAAGCCAAGTGGACGAATTCGCACAACTGTTTGCATACATTATTTCCGGTTATGAATCTAGATGTGACATATTAAATGTTAAACATGTTAAACGCCGCGAAACGTGTAGTTGTTGTAATTATCGGATTGAGGCTACTCGCTCAGGTTGAGTCTATAAAAGATTTTCTCGAACACAACGGCAGTTTACCGGAAATAGCGGTGTTGTATGAGAAATATTGTCCGGATATCAGTCTCTGCACAACAAAGCCATCAGGACCAGTCACAACTACACAGTCTTGTTGTGGTGGCTGT